TTCAGGCTATCTGCCCCAGGCTGGGTGCAGTACTCACACCCATAATCCCAGTGGATCATGAGTTAATCACAAACTCTGGAAGTCCACCCTTGACTGCATGAGGTTTTGGGGGACACAAACCATAACAGTGGGTAAAGGGAAGTGTTTGTTTCTCCCTGGCTTTGTCTTGCTCTGTGTCCATATAAGATGAGAAAGAGAGCACATATTATGTTATAGGAGCAGAGTCTATAAAGGGAGATTGAGCATACAGGATTATGTAATAATTAACCCAAAGACAAGGTTCATAGTCCTAGAGATATTGAGGGGTACAGTCAAGAATAGGAGGGATAATCCCTTACCAAAGAATCCCAGAAGGAAGATGTGGGGAGCTAATTCAGAAGCGTGGCCTGGAAGTTGAGGGGGTTCTTATATGAGAGACTCCATTTTCATTGAGGACTGGAGCAAAGTCATTTTCTAGGGCAGGAGTGGATAAAAGTTCAGAGGAATACCAAAGGCTTGGAATATGTGCTCTAGAAAATGAATGAAAATAATGGCATCAAGTAGACCCAAACGGGCTAATGTTTAAACATTTGGAAGGCAGGAATTTTTTATTGATTCTACCATGTGCTTCAAAATCGTACTATGTTCTTTAAGTGATTTGTTTGTCCTTGTTCATAGGATATAAAGTCAAGCTCTAGAAACCCTGAGCACACAGACACAGATACACAGACAACTCTTTTACTGGCTTAGAAAAGGCAAGAATGCTGTAGGAGAAGCTGCAATTGAAGTACACTCCCAGATGTAGACAAGCTGGGAGGAGACCAGGTGGAGGCAGTTAATTGCCAGAAGTAACGTGGGTGTTGGTCATCATAATACATGGGTGTTTGGGGCCTGCTGGTCTGTTAGTTTTCTGGTTATAGCTAATTAACTGTAGGATCTGAGGAATGAACTGAACAAACAAACCACTGTCTGTATGAATAGCAACAACAAATAAACCAACAAAACACAGTTCTAGGTTTTGGAAACAAAAATCTTAGGTGCTAGAGAGACTATCCTATTCTCAGCACTAAATCAGTTTCCAGATCCACAGCTTTCTGAGCATAGCCCTGCTGTACCTGATGGAACAAATGGTTACTCGATTTTCCTCAAGGGATTTGTAATCTTTAATGGATAAATATCCAGAAGAAAAAAATATCTGGGCTCTTTGATTGACCATCACTTACCAATTCTAATTTCTGGGACCTAAAATGTCACTGTTTATATCAGTATTTTGATCTTATAGGTATTAGAAGATAAGTGGATTTTGGTCCAAGTTTACCTTCAGGTAGGAGTAGTAGGACTGCATTTGTCTACAGTTATGGGCCCTACTCACCAAAGCAATAGTTGGAATAAATAATGTTGGCAACTTACAGAATTTTTACACTGGAACACTTAGTGGTGGAGGAAACAATATTGTGACAGGAAGCATCAAGAGGGGTGCCGTTCTAAATGGGGTTTGGTTCTCCTTAATGAAGTGACTTCATATAGCCCCTGACAGCTGCTTTGTAGTTATTGGTCTGGGGTTTAGTTCTAGGATCATTTAAAAATAATCTTTTTGTTTTATCCACGCCCACTTTTGATTGTCATAAATTGTATTGCATATTACTCATATCCTTACTCATGTCTATATATGTAAAGTTCATACTTGGACTTTTCTCAGTTATTGGAAAGAAAATTAGGTAATCCATATGAATGCATAATAGATGTACATAATAGAGTGCTTGGATATCTGTTATCTTTTATTATGGATATAGTTGGGCATGAGCATCCAGAATGATTTTTTTCTTCATTGCTCATTTTTCAGACTTGTTCAAGTCATTTAGTGGCATGACAAACTTTCTGAATCATTGCATGTCTGAACATATGCTTACTTTCCCCCAACCTTAATGATAATTTGCCTGGGTAAAGGATTCCAGATTTAGCTTTGAAGATATTAACTGCGAAATCCTGTGGCAACCTAACTTCTGTGTTCTGTAGGTACCTTATTTCTACACAAGCAGCTCTTGATTTCCTTTCTTTTAGGCCCCTCCTCCCTTTTTTTTCTTTTTTGAGACAGGATCTTGCTATGAAGTTCAGGCTAGTCTTGACCTTGCTTTGTAGCCCAGGCTGGTCTCGAACTCCCAACAATCCTCTTGCCTCAGCCTCCCAAGTGCTGGGGTTATGAGTGTGTGCCACCACACCTGGCTAGGCCATTTCTAAAATAAGTTTGGTTGGTTTTTTTTTCATTCATTGTGCTAAGGATTCAGTGGGCTCTTAAAATCTGGACTTGAATTTTTGTTCCACTCTGGGACTTTAATCTTGCCCAGCTTGCACTACCACTCTGTCTTAAAACTTCTGTCATTCAAATGTTGAAATGCTGGATCCATTTCTGTATTGTATTATTTTCCTTATCATTAGTTTGCTACTTGGCCCCACCCATTCTACTACAAACTGACTATAAATCTTCTGTATTTTCTGTTTCAGGGACTCTTCAACTGTCTTAGCTCATTGATAGAACATTTGGTTCCCTTGGGCTTTTTTTTTTTTTTTTAAGCGATGGGGTTGAGCTCAGAGCCTTTACACTGAGGTACATCTCCAGTCCCCTTTTATTTTTTTGAGAGCAGTCTTGATAAATTTCCCAGCCTGGTCTCAAGCCTGTAATCCTGCTCTGGCTTCACAGAGTACTGAGATTACAGGCATGAACCACGTTTGTCCTCAGGTGTCTTTCGTGATTCAAATTCCTTGGTTACCGTTTGGTTTTGATACCAGTCAGCTGGGGGTTCTCTTGCTAAATTCAGATAGAAATCACAAATAGGAAAAGCGTAGCACTGTTTAGTGTTAACAGCCTTGAACTTTGAATGCCCGCACCAACTCGGAACCAGCAGCCCTCAGGAACTCTGCCTGAGACGCAAGATGGTAATTTCCAGCAATTCTCCCTTGGCCTCCCTTTCTCTGGCCACTAGCTGCCCTCATGGTTTCCATCTCCTGGATGCTGGCCACTTTCAGAATCAGTGTTCTTTGTTCTCAGCTGTTGTAGTACAAGCTCAGCCTGTTGTATTTAAATTATAAAACACGCACAGGCAAACATGTCATTCAAAACAAAAGGCTTTTTATTAAAACTAATGCTACAACATAAGGAACAGTGCCTAGATACTCCAAGAAAACGAGGGAGGCTGCTCCCTTGGCAGTTGGCTCTAGAATGCAGTGTCAAGTTTCTCTTTAGTCATAGGTAGTCGAGAGTTGATGGTGGGAAAGGGGATAAGCCCTGAAGCCCCCACACCCAACCTGCAGACAAACTAAAGAGGTAGAGCCATCCAAACAGGTTGTAATCTAGGATGGTCCCACAGCCAAAGCAACTGTCTCCCAAATGTGATGTTGATGCTATGAAGCATTCAGGGCAGCCAAAGAACAAAGAAAAAAGATTACTTCTTTGGGGGAATGGGGCTCCTCTCTCCTTTCTCAATCTCAGATTGGATTGTAGATTGTAAGGTAAAAGTATTCCTATCATCCTCAATTTTTTACTCTTAAAACTAGTTTTCTATTTCCCAGAGTTCTTATTCCACCAACCCAACAAATACATTCTCATTTTTAGTTTCACAATTCTACTATCTCCAGTGAAGCTGAAACTTTCACTCACGAAAACAACAAAACTCCAGATATCTTAGCGGACTAAAGCGCCTGTTTGGGCAGAGTGCAGCGGCTGGGTTCAACCCAGGGCGTGCTGTGCTGGCCCCACCCCTGGAGATTGAGACTGGGTGTGGTGGCGCGTGCGTGCCTGTAATCCCAGAGTTTGGGAGGCTGAAAACAGAAGAATCACTACTAATCGGATCTACGTAGTGAGACCCTGTAAACCCTAAACTAAATACATTAAAAAAAAAGCAGTTGAGATATTTCAAAAAAAAAAAAAAAAAAAAAAAAAAAAAAAAAACCTCTTCCAAGAGCCAGAGTTCTATCTTCCTCAACGGTGATTCTCAGTCAAGAATCAGAACTGCCTATAATTTTCCCCAAATAAACCCAGCCCCACTGACTGAGAATTTGCGCTCCAAAGATGGGTGCAGGTTTCCCATTAAACACCGGCTCCTCGAGGGCTTTCAGGTCCACCCCCTACGAGCCCTTAGGTGCTTGGGGAGGCCCTTGAGCCTCCGCCCCTCCTCGGCACTCCATTCCAGCCACGTGGGAGGAACCAGCGCGGGGCATCCCCAGGGGCCGCCCAGCGAGGCGCGTCCCGCCCAACGGCCCGCCGGCCACGTGCGTCCGGGTAGGAAAGCGCACCACGCACTGCCGCCGCCCG